GGGAGGGGGAGGATGGGGAGGTGATAGTGAGACAGCCGCTAAGGTGCCACGATTGCGCAGCAGCGGCCGCTTTGCGGCGGGTGGGGGGCGGCGGTCTGGGCAACTACTTGTCGAAGGGGTGGCGCGGGCGCGGGCCGCTCCCCGGCTCGCTCTGTCGAAGCCCCCGCCGACCGCAGAACCTACAGCCTGCCTCTCAGATTTTTCTCGACACGGGGAGGAGCAGGAGCAGGGGGAGGAGCCAGAAGGAGTAGGAGGAAGGGGAGAGGGAATGGGTAGGAGGATAGGGGAGGGGGAGGTGGAGGAGGGGCAAGAGGAGGGGGACCAGAGTAAGCACAGAGTGTATCGGCAATGCTACAGAATGTTTGAATCACGGACAAAGGGGCAAACGGCGCGGCGGCCATCGTCCGATTGTGCTATACATCCTGCTTTTACAATGCCCTCGTCGTTAAGCTCGGCGAGTGCTACTTTTCACTGCAGGGGGCGCCCCCTTTCTAACCACGAGCACCCCGATGGGCCTGCGATTGAGGTGAGAACCGCAGTTGGAAAAAGGAGTCACCCTCTATCTTTCTGGCTCTTGGAACATGGCAAGATGTAGGATCACAACGGTGAAGGAAACGCTGAGCGAGAGGTCCGTTTTAAGATGGGACCTACTTTCAACCGTTTCTCTGATGCGCGTGTGTAGGTTCTGGGCCGTCAATTCAAGTGGAGCGTCGAGCGAGAGCTGCATTTTGAAAAGGAGCCTGCCTCGATCTATGCAGCAGGTGCACAAGTTTGCGTTTGGAGTCGTAAAAACCCAGGGAGTCAAACTGAGAGCCCAAGCCTGAAAAGGAGTCGCCCTCCATGCGTGCAGCTATCTAAAGGCATGTACGGCGAGTCGGGGCGGGGCTCAGGCGGCAGCCACATTTTAGTACGATCTTGCGCTCATCCGTGTAGATTTGGCGACGCTTGCGACGAATGGGCCCAGCGGTAGGGCGTCAGCCACATGTGAACATAGTCCGCCCTCAATCAGTGTACTTGCTGAGAGCTGTCAAAACACATGTTCGCGGCAGCTCGACTCGAGCCACGTTTTGAAACATGTCCGCCGGCCATCCACGCAGCTGTTGGACCCTACAGAAAATCAGGACCATGCGTTGTGAGCAACTCCCTTGAGAAATATCCCTCCCGCCCTACTGACACACCTGGTGTGGCAAAGTGGAAGGGCTACCGGTCATGAAAAAGGACTTTGGAGGAGGAGCAGCAGCAGGGCCACGACAATGCACAGGGGAGGAGGAGGAGGAGGAGAAGGAGGAGGAGGAGGAGGAGGAGGTGGAGGAGGAGGAGGAGGAGGACGACGACGAGGTGCAAGGGGGGGAGGCCAGATGCCCTGAGATCCAGGCGTCTTGTAGAAGCTTGAGTTTTGCCCGCGTTGGGCACCAGAGTTCCCTCGCACAGCTCCGCTTCGAGAAGCGCAGCATCGCTGCGGGTTCGAGAGTTCCTGTTGGAGTTTCCTTGTCCTCGCGATGCCGCGTGGTTTAGTCCGTGCCTTGGATGTCTGGGAGGGGTGCCCCGAGGGTGTTCCGGCAGAGGGGGCGGACAACGTCGTTACTGCTAGCTTATAGTGCCCGCGATCTGTGTTTGACCTCGGAGGGCGAAAAATAACATCAGGCAACGGCAATGGTGATTGTGATTGGTTGATTATTACATGTGCCAGCGAGCGCCCGCGGTTCGCTCGACAAGCATTCTGGCCGCAGCACTGAAGATCATGCCAGTGTGTGGAGGCAAGCTGCACCGGTGGCGGAGGCGCAATGATCGGTGACGTACTCAATGGGAATAATCTTTTGTCGACTAGACATAAGAGTGACCTTTCGCCAGAGTGACCTTTGGTGCGGGCACAGATGGGCAGCCAGATGGCTGAACGCGAAGCGGCAGCAGCGGCTAGCGCGCCTGGAGTTGGCCTCCCCGCGGCCCCCCCAAAGCAGCGCACTAAAGGTCACTCTTACCCAGGGTCACTCTCACGTGTAGCCGACTTTGGCACTGATGGGTGCCGGATTTAGGTATTCGTCAATGGGAGCAACGTCAGGCCAGCCCCCTTTCCGTTCAATCTTTTGTGCGAGGGCGGGACATTGGTCAAAAGCGGGGGGTCGGTCCAACCCCATCTACGTTGAAGAAGGGGGACGGGGAGAAGGAGGGAGAGGACGATGAGGAGGAGGAGGGTGGGGACGACCCTCCTCACCTCCCCCACCCATCGCCACTCCAGCCTTAAGTCGGGCTCGTCCCTCTTCAGGAGGAGTATTCGAGGATAGTAAAAGATCAGTCCGTGGACGAATCTTTGACCATTTTCGTTTTTCTTTGTTCGTTCTTTTGTTGTTACCATTTTGGGGGGCATCTTTTATTTTTCGTCCATACTCCCACCGTCGGAGGCCCTGCGGCCGCCGGAGGCGAGGAGGAGGAGGAGGAGGAGGAGGAGGAGGAGGAGGAGGAGGAGGAGGAGGAGGAGGAGGAGGAGGAGGAGGAGGAGGAGGAGGAGGAGAGGAGGAGGAGGAGGAGGAGGGGGAGGAGGAGGAGGAGGAGGAGGAGGGGAGGAGAATCAGGAGGAGGAGGAGGAGGAGGAGGAGGAAGGAGGAGGAGGAAGGAGGAGGAGGAGGAGGAGGAGAACGGAGGAGGAGGAGACACACACGCCCGACCCAACTCCTGCCCCGAGACCGCGCAGTCGTGGCCCTCGGGAGGCCGCCGCCTCCGTGCGCTCCGCCCCGCGGCCTGTCGCCCTCCTCGGGGCCGTCGCCGGGCTCGGCCCGAGCCGCAGTGCCGACGCTCTGTGCCCGCACTCAGGCAGTGGCGAAGCGCCCTGGCGTGCCCATAAACCTGCCGAACAGTGTTCTGAGAACCCTTTGTGGCTCCCACGAAATGTTCTCAGGACATTTCTGGTGGGGACTGTCTTGGTTTGTCACGTCGGGTGTGTATGTGTGTGTGTGTTATAAGAACACTGTTTTTGTTCTTAGAACATTTGGGGGTTCCAAGAACATTTCGTGGTAGGACTATAGAAATGCCGGGACGGTCGGTCTCTGCTCAACGCATCGGCTTCTCCACGCGAGGTGGGGCATGTCGGCCACGCGCGGAGGGGGGGTACACATTGTTCGTTTCTAGGTCTTCGAACATTCCCTGTTTTTTTGTGTGTGGGGGGGCCCAGATCCTCTCATGTCTGATTATTCTGTCCTGGGCCTCGTCCTGGCCACTGGGGGGCCAGGAACAGTTAGAAACGAGCACATTTGGAAATGAGCACGATTAGAAATGAACGACGTGTACATGCATCGGGTTCCCCACGTGAAGTGGGACATGTCGGCCACGCGCGGAGGGGGGTATGGGTAGGGGGGAAGGCTCCTTAGAAGCACCCCCGCTTCTTAGAAGCGGCGGGCCTCGTCTGCAGATGTAGGGCCCGCGCCTTTTGAAGTAGCAGCCTCCTTCTAAGAAGCCTTCCCCCCCCACCCCCTTGTGCGCGCCGCCAAACATGGGCATCGCCGGAGGCCTCTTTGCTGAGCGTGGCTGCAAACACAATGCAAAAAGAGATGATCTCCGGTTCGGCCCAGCAGGACGCCCGCATGCACAAGCTGCTGGAGAGGGTCGGGGCACGCGTGTTCGGCTTCTCGGCCCGGGAGGCCTGCATCATGCGGGGGGGGGCGTAGAAAGGGGAGGAGGAAGGCTTTAGGTTTCGAGGGAGCGGAGGAGAGGAGAGGGAAGGAGTCCCGCTCAGTCGAGAGCGCCCTTTAGCGATCCTCTTTCTCTCGTGGAGCCTTCCTGTTGCGCGGTTAGCGTTACAGCGATTTAGATGTTCTTCTCTTGAGAAGCGTGTTGCAAGCTTGCGCACGCGGGTTCCTTGCGGATTTCTTTTCCAGCGTCCAGCGCGCTCTCTATTCACTGCCCTTTTGGATTGGAATATGTCGAGTCCCGCTCCAGAGCGGAGTTCCTCTCCTCCTTCTCCTCCTCCACCTTCTCCCTCTCCCTCTCCTTCTCCTCCTCCTCCTCCTCCTCCTCCTCCTCCTCCTCCTCCTCCCCTCCTTCCTCCTCCTTCTCCTCCTCCTTCTCCTCCCCTCCTTCCTCCTCCTCCTTCCTCCCCTCCTTCTCTCCTCTTCCTCTCCTCCTCCTCCTCTCCCTCCCTCCTCCCCTCCCTCCTTCCTCCTCCTCTCCTCCTCCTACCTTCCTCCTCCTCCTCCTCCTCCTCCTCCTCCTCCTCCTCCCCCTCCTCCTCCTGATTCTCCCCCTCCTCCCCCTCCACAATTACACAATATGAAAATACTCTCCCACTTCCCCTGATGGCGTCCCGAAGATATCCGACACCCCCCCGCGTATTGTTTTTTAACACACAGGATTCCCGGGAAACGGGTTTTCGCTGGTGTTTTTTTCAAAATGCTGCTCTCGCCGAGGCGCCGGCCTCATTTTCGGGCCCCGCTCGTTCCGAATCGTGCTCCCGCTGCAGCGCTGGCCTCATTTCCGTGCTTCTTCTCGTTCCGAATCGTGTTCCTGCTGTAGCGCTGGCCTCATTTCCGCGCTTCCGCTCGTTTCGACTCGTGCTCCCGCTGCAGCGCTGGCGTCATTGCCCGTGCCATGCCACAGCACACGCGAACACGCACACACACCACACACACACACACACACCACACACACACACACACCACCACACACCACCACACACCACCACACACCACCACACACCACCACACACACACACACACCACACACCACACACCACACACCACACACCACACACCACACACCACACACCACACACCACACACACAACACACACCACACACCACACACCACACACCACACACCACACACCACACACCACACACACACACCACACACACACCACACCACACAACCACACACCACACACCACCACCACCACCACCACCACCACCACCACCACCACCACCACCACCACCACCACCACCACCACCACCACCACCACCACCACCACCACACCACGCACACACGCACGCACGCACGCACGCGCACCACCACCCACTAGTCCGCGGATAGAGAAAATCAGCGCCATGGTAAGGGATGGGAGGGAGGGGTAGGACGTCAGATATGACGCGCGCGCACCTAGCTTGTCCCTCTCCCTCCTCCCTCCTCCTCCTCCTCCTCCTCCTCCTCCTCTCCTCCTCCTCCTCACCCTCCTCTCCCCTCCCCCTCCTCCTCCCCCTCCTCCTCCTCCTCCTCCTCCTCCTCCTCCCTCCTCCTCCTCCTCCTCCTCTTGCTCGTCCACTCGACCTCCTGCCGAACTCCTTCCGTCGGAGGAGGCGGAGGTGAGCACGGAGGAGCAGCGTGGAGCACAACGAGAAAGGACGACCTCGTCCTCCCCCCCGCCTCCAGGCGTACCTGCTGCTGGCCGCGGCCGCCCGGCTGCCCGGCCGCCCGCCGCCGCGCCTCGCCGCGCTCGCGGGCCGCTGCCTGGAGCAGCTGCTCGAGGACTGCGGCCCGCATGCCACGGGGGCCCGCGGCGCCCAGCCGGGCAGGTGCAAGTCGGGCACGTCCCTCTACAGTTTGTGGAGGACGACCAATGGAGAGGAAACATGTGGCCAAATAGTTTCCAGATGTCTAAAGCATGTGTTGAACATGTTTTAAACATGTTGAAAATCATGTGTAAGACAAGTTTAGAGCTTTCCCCGAGATTTGAAACACATGTTAAATCCACTGATAGGACTGTTCAGGTGTCCATTGTCGTGGCGTGCACAACTCTACAGGAGGAACGTTCACAGATAGTCCAGAAACAGCCTGGGGACGATTTGTCGGTTATTTTCGACTACTTTTGGAATCTTTGTTCGACTATGCTTTCTATGCTTCCTCCAAAATCCGCCTGTAGGGGGACATGCCCGCCCCAATTGAGGGCAGGGCGAGCGAGTCGTGCAGGTTGCGTTCGACCCCCCGATCGGTGGCGAGCGAGAGGCGGGGGGGAAGTGAGACGGGGAAGGCCTGCTCAGAAGGCGGTGGGACTTCTCTCAGAAGCCCCCGCGCCTTCCGAGAAGTGTTCTGTTGTTTCCTCGGGGAGGGCTCGGAAACACTTCTCAGAAGGCCCCGGGACTTCGGCGCCTTCCGAGAAGGCCCCCCCTCCCCCTCTGCTCACTTCCCCCCCCTCGCTCGCCGCCTACCCGAGGTGTTCGGGAGGCGTTGGCGCTGCTCCACCACAACAGCAGATCCACGGATACTCATTGTTCCCCAAGCAGTGCTTGCACTGAAGGGGTCCTAACGGAAGTTGAAGGATTCGGCGACAGTTCCCCGCCGATGTTGGTAGCAGGCTGGGTTTTTTGGGCCGATTTCGGTGGGTTCTGGGTTCCGGGGCTCCCGGGTTCCCGGTCGATCTCCTCAGCGAAAACTATCCATTGATTGAGGTTTTTCTCTGGTGCAGTTTCTAGTTCTTCGAAAGTTCATTGCTTTTTTTTGGGGGGGGGCAAGATCCTTTCGTTTCTAATTATTCCATTCTGGGCCTCTTCCTGGCCACCAGGGGCAGGAGCACTTAGAAACGAGCACAATCAGAAATGAGCACGATTAGAAATGAACGACGTGTACTTGTTGATGGATTGTTCCTGGGCCTCGTGGGAGGGTCGCGGTGTACAAGCCACCTTTGGAGCCAGCGACGTTCTGCACACCGCCGCCCTCCCTGCAGGTACCTGCAAAATTCGTCGGAGGGTGTCTGTGTGCATACGTTCGTGGCGTAGTCGATGTTTGCGAGGGAGATCCTGGAGGCCTCGCGCGGCGCGTATAGAATAGTTGTGTTACCTAGTCCACACGTCATTTCCGTAAGCTATGGGTCGACGCTCGCGCGGCGATGTTCCGGCGTCAGTCCGACGTAAATCCGACGCAATTCCGACGTAGTCCGACGTGAACCCGACGTGAATCCGACGTGGATCCGGCGTAAATCGGGTCTCAAGTCGCCGCGCGAGGCCTCTAGGAGTTTCCTCATGACTCATAACGATGTCAAGCAAACTCACCGAGGACGGCGAGGACCTGACGGACGAGCAGCTGGGGCACGCGCTCGTGCTCGCCGCCCACTTCGAGGGCGCGCCAGGCTGCCGCGCAGCCGCGGCGGCGCTGCGGGAGGAGCAGGCCTGCGGGAGGAGGTAGGGAGAGGGGAACCGGTGACGAGAAGGGGGGAGATGGGAGGGGGGAGGAGGAGGAGGAGGAGGAGCAGGGGGAGGAGCACGATAGGAGGAGGAGGAGGAGGGAGGAGGAGGAGGAGGGAGGAGGAGGAGAGGAGGAGGAGGAGGAGGAGGAGGAGGAGGAGGAGGAGGAGGAAGAAGGGAGGGAGGAGGAAGGAGGAGGAGAGGAGGGGAGGAGGAGGAGGAGGAGGAGGGAGGAGGAGGAGGAGGAGGCGGGAGGAGGAGGAGGAGGAGGGAGGAGGAGGGGGGGAGGAGGAGGAGGAGCTGGGAGGAGGACGGGGAGGAGGAGGAGGGAGGAGGAGGGGAGGAGGGGGAGGAGGACGTGGAGGAAGAGGAGGACGGATCAGGAGGAGTGGGGGTGACGGGGATTCGGCATGATTGAAATGAGTACGGGAAGAATGTGTATAGTGCATATTAGTAGTTTCTGCGCATTTTGAACAGGACTCGCTGTTCATCCGAAGAAGGAGTGGGAGAGGGGGGGGATTCGGCACGACCGAAAGGAATACGGAAATAATGGGTACGATGCACAACATTAGTTTCTCGAACTAGCAACAAAAACGCCATACACATTTTTGTTTGGCGCTCCGCGCGGATTTCTTGCATCCGCGCTGGGCCCCCCCTCGGCGGCGCCTCTGGCGGCGCCCCTTGTGCATTCAGCGCGCCAGGGATGGGGATCCAACGTGGATCCAAGCAATCCGAGCGGGACATTGGAATCCAACGTGGATCCAAAAAAACACGGCGGGTTGGGAAGGGACGGATGGGAGGGGCAGGATGTCAGATATCGCGCGGGCGCACCCAGCTTGCCTCTCCCCCCTCCTCCCTCCCCTCTCCCCGGTTCTGCCCTCCTCCTCCTCCTCCTCCTCCTTCATTGCCATCCTCTTCAGGAGTCAGCATCTTCCCCTTTGGGACTGTTCCCTTTCATTCCCGCCTCCTTCTGCTCGACACCGTCCCGCTCCTCCTACTTTATGTCCTTCTCATCCTTGCCCCCCTTTTCCATCCGTCCTTATCTTGTCATCCTCCGCCTTCGTCGCTCCCGCTGCCTTCTCTTGTCGAAGCCCCCCCGGCGCTGAAGGCCCGGCTGCTGCGCGTGAGGCTTGCAACAGGCTGTCTTTTCCTTACGTTTATTTTGGTGGACAGCTCGACGGCGACGGAGATGGTGACGTGACGACGAGGTCGGAGGGGGGAGATGGGACACCAACACCACCAGGGGGCCCACCTCCAGCGAGGAGGTCCACGATGCCTCCCCGAGCTGGAGGCTGGGGATGTCTCGAGCGAGAGGGGGGGACCACACCACCAGAGAGACCCCCCCTTTGCTCCTAGCATCTCCTCGCCCTGTTGGTGTTGTTGTCGCCTTTCCTTGTTCCTACGAGGGGGTGAGGGGGAAGTGAAATGGGAGGACGCGAACGGGGAGCGTGCCAGGAGCGGGGGGGGAGAAGCTGCCGAGCAGGCGGGGGGGCGGCGGACGCAGGGGAGGGCAGAGGAGAGCTGGAGGAAGGGTAGGCCACGCGCGAGGAAGGAGGAGGAGGAGGAGGAGAAGGAGGAGGAGGAGGATGAGGAGGAGGAGGAGAAGGAGGAGGATGAGGAGGAGGAGGAGGGGGAGGAGGAGGAGGAGGAGGAGGAGGACAGAGGCGAAGGACAAAGACAGAGGGGATGAGCAGGGGGAGGGGGTGGTAGAGGTGGAGGAGACGGAGGGAGACGACTAAGGAAGATCTGGAGAAGGACGCCGATGTGGACAAAGATAACGAGGGGGTGGGAGTTACCGCGATCATGAGAAGAAGGATCATGGAGGAAGGGGAGGACGGATCAGGATGAGCTGGGCACTGACGATGTTGGACGACGATGGCACAGATGGGACTCGAGAAGCAGGACAACCAGGATGATCGCATGCAACACGTTGTGGAGTCCCCCCCCTCCCTCCTTCTGCGCCGCCCCTCCCGCACTCCGCTTCCTTTCTCCGCCATCCGTCTCTCCCGGCGACGCGGGGCGGCTCCCCTCTCCCGGCTCCCCAGACACCCGACGCCATGATTTTCTCCTGACGCGACCCCCGGAGGTCTGGTCCCATTCCCCGGGGCCGGTTCTTCGTCCTCAGCCGTTATTATTTGAGGATCCCCGAGGCCCGGTGAGGGCCCCCCAGAGGCCGAACATTGTAACATAGCGAAAAACCTCCCGTCGTGATTTTGTTCACAGCGCGAGGGGGTCTGGGCTCAAGTCGGCATGTCCCTCTACAGGGGGAATATTCAAAAATAGCCAATTGAGGATGCTTTTTTGTTCCCCCCATTTGTTACTATCATCTGATATGCTTGGCTATCTTTGATTGTTTCGTCCAAAATCTGCCTGTAGCAGGACACGCCCGACCTAACAGCAGCGCCTTGCTCGCTTGGGCTTGGCCCCCCCGCGGCTCCCCCCGAAGGCAGCCACGCGTGAGGCCACGCTGGCCCAGTGGAGACCCATGCCAAGAGACACCCTGCTTGCCTACAGGGTGCCCTCCTCCTCCTCCTTCTCCTCCTCCTCCTCCTCCTCCTCCTCCTCCTCCTCCTCCTCCCGGGTTCCCCGGGTTTCGATGGTTTCGCGATGGAGAGATCGTGTGACCCAGACCCCCGACGTCATGATTTTTTGATGACGCGACCCCCGAAGGTCCGGACCCATTCCCCAGGACCGGTTTCTCATCCTGAGTCCTTTTTGACGGTCCCGAGGCCCGGTGACGGTCCCCAGAGGCCGCCAATAGCGAGAAACCTCCCTCATGATTTGATGGCATTGGGCCCCTCGCTCCGTCGCCGCCTGCGTCGGCACCGCCCTCCCCGCGGCGCGGCCGTTGCCCAGAGGCGCGCGGGCGCCCAGCTCCAAGGCGCTGAGCCTGGCTGCCGCGGGGCTCGCGCGGGGGCGGCGCCCGGGGGCCGGCCGCGAGCTGCTGGAGGCCCTGGCGGAGGCGCCAGAGGAGGAGGAGGAGGAGGAGGAGGAGGAGGAGCAGGAGGAGGAGGAGGAGGAGGAGGAGGCGGACCTCCTCCTTCTCCTCCTCCTCCCTCCTCCTCCTCCTCCTCCTCCTCCTCCTCCCGGGTTCCCCGGGTTTCGATGGTTTCGCGATGGAGAGATCGTGTGACCCAGACCCCCGACGTCATGATTTTTTCATGACGCGACCCCCGAAGGTCCGGACCCATTCCCAAGGACCGCTTTCTCATCCTGAGTCCTCCTCCTCCTCCAGAGGAGGAAGAGGTGCCCACACCTCTGCCCGTGGCCCCCTGTTCTCCCCCTCTTTTGTTGGGGGCCTCCTGGGAGGCCCTCGGCGCCACCGCCGGATTCGCCTCGGAGTCCTGGTCAGAGCGCACCCCGGGAGAGGTCTTGGGAATGGCGCGCCCAAGGGGCCGCGTGCGCTCGAGAGCGGGAGGAGGAGCAGGAGGGAGGAGGGAGGCCTCGGAGGAGGAAGAGGTACCCACACCTCTACCCTTCGCCGGGTTTCCCCTTCTTGGGCCTCCTGGGAGGCCACCGCTGCATTCGCCTCGACCTCCCGGTCAGAACGCGCCCCGGGAGAGGTCTTGGGAGCAGCGGTATCGGTACTTTTTGGCTTCCCCAGTGGGTGGGGATTGGGGGGTCGGAGGGACGAAGGACGGATGGTGGCGGAGTCGGACGACAGGGAGGGAGGCAGGAGGAGCAGGAGGAGCAGGAGGAGCAGGAGGAGGGGCCGAGAAGGGGAGTCGGGACGTCTGCGAGGCACCATGAAACATCCAACAACACACCACTTCCCTCTCGGAACTCCCCGAGCGCCGAGATGATCCAGACGCCAAAAAAGGGGAAGCACATGTTGCCTCCAAAGCCAAACCACACGGTACGGAAGACAACCCTCACCATATTGCACCATGCACACAAGTAAGCGAGCAATTGTGTGCATGTTCGTCATGTTCTTCAGCTCCTCACGCATGCAAAGCACAAGCCCTGAACGGCGATGACAGCACCACCACCCCTTGATCCAGGAGCAGTCTGCGCACCACCAACAACGCAGCAAAATGAGCACGGATCATGTAAGCGACGATTTCTTCTGAAATGTGAACCCCGTCGGCCAGCGAGACGCACAGTGAAGCGAACATTAATGAGACGCTGGAAGGCCGCCATTGACCACACTCGAGCACATGGAACTGAAAGAGCAGCGACGTGATGCAATTCTGGGGAGAACGTTTGCCCGCCTTCCCTGCACGTGCTGATCCAAGCATTGCAGCTGATGGCAGTAGACGAAGCCTTCGCCTCCCCACCTCGCTCGGCCGCGGCACCACACGCTGCATCTGTCTGCTTTTCTCGCGCGCTCTGAACTAGACCTTGTGGCCCAAGCACTAGCCCGAAGCCCACTGCGGCACTGAAGGAGAACACTTGTCGAGGGGCCCGAGTCACCGCCCGTTGAAACCAAATCACTGTTGGCGCAATTGGGGGTCTCCTCGAAGGCTGCCTCCACCAGATGCTGGCACGGTCGAGACACAATCATACGCCCATCACAGCATCTTTCATGGACTCCAGACTTCGCTTAAGAAGGTCAAGAATTTGCAATGGACCCTCGGCGTTCTCTTGGGGCTTCTGTTCTCCGTGAAAGTTTCCTCTCTGTGGACCTGGCCTACTGGACTACTGGTGAAGAAGACGCTTCGAGTGAAGTTCCTTCTCTCAGCCCAGAAATGTCCTGACTCTGAGCAGGAGGTGCCCTTCTCACTTGCACCCCGATTCGCAATGTCTAATACGTGTTTTGCTTCGCGCATTCAAGCGCTCAGCATCTTGGAGCGCTTCTGGCGTGTATCTCGGTGGGCTGTTTCACCCGACCCTGCTCAGCGTGTACGCCGTTGCGCTGCTTAGCGTGTCAGCGCCTCCGAGCAGGGGTGTACATCGACTTCGCCCCGCTTAGTCTTCACTCGGGCATGTCCATCTACAGGTGGGATGTTCAACAATAGCAGAACAATAGTCTGGGGACTTTTTGAGTATGTTTGAGCATTGTTCTGCGTATGGTTGGACTCTTTTTCATTATTCCTTCAAGCTCCTCCTGTAGGGGGGACACGCCCGACCTAAGCGTAGCCACTGGGATCGGCCTCGCACCCGCGGGGGCGGGCGCACCCGGTGCCCCTCTTAGAATCGGGGGGCCCGACATGGGTTCGGAAAGAATGGGCACAAAGCCCGGCAGAGGTTGCTGGCCACTCTGCGCAGGATTCGGTGTCGAGGTCGCGGCGGTTGCTGCTCATTTGAGGCACAAGCTCCCCTGGCACACAGCGGCCGCCGTCGGCTTTGGACAACACTTCTCGTTGGGCATCGTACCCATCTTCTTCATACCCGTTTCGGGCGCCCTAATAAAATTATCCCGGCAAAGCAACCTAACAGCGATATGTAGAAGCATATCTGAAAGCATTCCCCTCCAGATTCAGATGAAAATCCAGTTGTAGAATTCTGCTGTTCTCGCAGTCGTAGTCGCATTCGCGATGACAGTCGCAGCGGCAACGGCAGTCGCAGTCACACAGCCTCAGCCTGCCTCAGCCTCAGCCTCAGCCTCAGCCTGCCTCAGCCTCAGCCTGCCTCAGCCTCAGCCTCAGCCTGCTTCAGCCTCAGCCTCAGTCTGCCTTCAGCCTCGGCCTCAGCCTCAGCCTGCCTCAGCCTCAGCCTGCATCAGCCTCAGCCTCAGCCTCAGCCTGCCTCAGCATCAGCCTGCCTCAGCCTCAGCCTGCCTCAGCCTCAGCCTCAGCCTGCTTCAGCCTCAGCCTCAGTCTGCCTTCAGCCTCGGCCTCAGCCTCAGCCTGCCTCAGCCTCAGCCTGCCTCGGCCGCAGCATCAGCCTGCCTCAGCATTCAAAATGTGGGCCAGGAATGGAGTTCTGGGAACTAGAAGAACACGAAGTGGCCTACAGTTGGCTCCGGGCATTCAAAATCATGCCCAGGAATGGAGTTCTGGGAACTTGAAGAGCACGAAGTGGCCTACAGTTGCTCCGGGCATCCAAAATGTGGCCCGGGAATGGAGTTCTGGGAAGTCGAAGAGCACGAAGTGGCCTACAGTTGGCTCCGGGCATCCAAAATGTGGCCCGGGAATGGAGTTCTGGGAAGTCGAAGAGCACGAAGTGGCCTACAGTTGGCTCCGGGCATTCAGAATGTGGCCCGGGAATGGAGTTCTGGGAGGTCGAAGAGCACGAAGTGTGTGACTGTTGGCTTAAAACGACTTCTGCGGCACCCTGTCCGGCACCCGCCCAGACCCCCCTGTGGAGTCATTTGCTGCTCTCTTTTGAGACCACTAGAAACCTATCAGAACAAGCTGTTAGGTAAAAATGAGGCGACGCGCGGCGGCGCGGGGCGCGGAGGCCAACCATGACGCGGCGGAGGCTCCAAGAGGGAATGGCGCGCCCAAGGGGCCGCGTGCGCTCGAGAGCGGGAGGAGGAGCAGGAGGGAGGAGGGAGGCCTCGGAGGAGGAAGAGGTACCCACACCTCTACCCTTCGCCGGGTTTCCCCTTCTTGGGCCTCCTGGGAGGCCACCGCTGCATTCGCCTCGACATCCCGGTCAGAACGTGCCCCGGGAGAGGTCTTGGGAGCAGCGGTATCGGTACTTTTTGGTCTCCCCAGGAGGAGTGGGCAAGGCGCAGAGAGTGCGGGGATGGAGCGGAGGGAGGCGGAGGAGGAGGACGAGGAAGAGGAGGAGGAGGAGGAGGAGTAGGAGGAGGAGGACTGAAGGAGAGGACATTTGCCGCGCAGCAAGCGGTGTTGACTCACGCCCGGATCAAGCATGGTGCCCGCACTGATCGCAGGCTGTTTGCTGAATCGGATGGGGCTTGCCGGTCGTGCCAAAAGAAGTTCTCGACCCGGCTACGCCTCATTGCGCATTGGTCCAGACCACAGAATTCTTGGTTGGCCTTGGGTCGTAGCGAGCGCATCACCGTTGTCGGCCAAGAGAGTCGCGCAGCTGGATGCCCTCGACGCCGCGGCCGGCTGGGCCGCCAGGATGACAGGACACAGCAGGCCCCTCACGGGCGGACCTGTGAAGCAGGCGCCTGCCGTTTGAACGAATCTCCGTCTTCTCCTTGCCTCCACTTGCGCACGACTTATTTCTTTTCTGAACTCAGGGACTGGATGCTTGTTTTGTGCCCTCTGTTGAGTCTCCGCCAGGAGAAAACAAATGACTGAAGGTTGGAGTGAGGGAGGAGGATGAGGAGGAGGAGGAGGAATGAAGGTTGGAGTGAGGGAGGAGGAGGAGAACGGAAGGTTGGAGTTGAGGGAGGAGGAGGAGGAGGATGAGGATCAGGAGGAGGAGGACGGAAGGTTGGAGTTAGGGAGGCGGACAGAGGGGAGGGAGGAGGGAGTTGAGGGAGAAGAAACAGCCGAGTGAGGGACAAGCGGGAGGATGAGATTTGCTGAGGTGGAGGGGAAGGAAGACAAGGGCTTTGTATTAATCAGGATGTTGGCTGTCTTTTAGCCTCAGTGGAATTATCAAGGCTCTCATTCCAGAGGACGTGACGCTAGTCAATGCTGCGCGTTCCTCAACTCAGCGTCGCTTCATATTGCGAGTGGATGCGCAGGCGTTGGCGGCGGGCTTCGCCTCGCGATGGCGAGCAAGCAGCACAGTACAAGTGGCAATAGATGCCAGTTTCATCAAATGTCACGCATCGTCAACAGTTTCCAGCCGCCACCCCCACCATCTTCGACACGTGGCAGATACTGCCACGGGACCCAGGAGGAGGAATAGGAGGATGAGCAGCAAGAGTACGGTATCTGTTTGCCCAGCAGGCAGCAGTTCTGTTTGCCTTCCCAGAACATGTTTTAATGAGAGCGTCCAGTTGGTTGGATAGCAGGCAGCCTTGCATTGATGTATTGACCTGCGTTGTGGAAGCGCTATTGATTTTGTCTCCGCGCCGCGGTCCTACAATCAGTTGGGCTGCGAACGTATTGCAGTTTTGGCGGACGAGGACGAGGCGGGGGTGGGTGAGGATTCGCTGCTGGATTTTATCGCGGATGTGCAACAGGTCCAGGCCCGGCAGCAATGCGTTTGTGCACTCATTGGCAAGCGTGCCGACACGTGAGTAAGTGATTTTACTTCTCGCCGCTACCGTCAGCCATTTTGGCCAGGATGCCCGAGTGTTTCAGGCCGCCATGTCACTCACGCAGGCTCGCCTCCATTCTTGCCTCCGGCATGCACCTTTTGCGTGATATTTATATATACACATGCAGATCGACGTGCACGTACACACGCACACGCGCAGTTTGCATCTTTTGTGTCTATTAGCGTTCGGCCATCGTGCCTAGGTCGTGGACAAGCGACGCCTTACATGCATTGTCGGTCTATTGGAAGGCCTCTCAGAGGTCTTTTGGGTGCCTGGAGGCAGCTCCGGGGGCCATCTTGGGCACCGGGCCTCAAAGGTTTATTCCAGTACCCTTCCAGTACACCTTCGTGGGGCCTCGTGGGGGCCTCGTGGGCCCCATCCCATCTTGCGGCCCGCCTGGTTTTTCGATAGAGCTGCACAGAGCGGTGTGGAGACCGAGCCGGCGAGAAATCATACATCAGCATATTGTCGTTTTGGTGGCTCGGGCCCCGTGGGCCAGCCCGGGGGCTTCCAAGGCGGCCCGACAGGTATCAAGGAGTGCACCCGGGACCACCTTGCGCAGAGCATGCTGGAACTTGGATTCCGAATCCCGCTCCCATGGCCTCAGGCAAAGTCTCGAGCCAAGCCTTAGGAGTGCATGAGAGTTCCCAAGAGTTCGAGGGTCCGCCGGGTGGTTACGTCAATAGCACGTACACCATACAACATTGAAGTCGGTTGACATGAGTTCACCACGTGTTCGTGCCTCGCGGCACGATGCTGGATTATATCAGGAGGTGTCGCTACGCACACTTTGGGGCTACAGTCAGAACCACGAGCACGGCGCTCACACTCCTGCTTGGCCATCTACCAGCAGGGTCACCATATGCGCACATGAACTCTTCATTAATTGGCGTCATGTCATTTTGTCTTGCACGTGCTTCTCTAATCCCGTCACTGCAGACGCCAGAAGCGATCCTTCCAGTGAGCGCGCCCTCCACGGCCCATCTCCCCGCTTCGATTCGCGTGAGGCTTCCGCACCTCACGGCCTAGCACCCTTCAGCGGGGTTGGCGTATCGGCCTCGCTCCGCAGCGGGTTCTCGCGAGGGCGCCGTGCTGGCCGTCCTGGTCCTCCTGGGCGCATCTGCGGTGTGGGGCCCTGCGAGGGTCACCTCGGCCTCCTCTGGCCAGCGCCCCACGGCGGGGACGCCTCCAGACTTCCGCGGGGCGCGGGCCTCGGCAGACCCCGATCCGGCCGACCCCGGGGAACGGCGGGCCGCCGATTTGGCCGACCTGTCGCCTGATCGGGGTCTGTGCGCGGTCGGTCGGACCCTCGATCGGTGTCGGCGGCGAGCGAGGGGGGGAGGTGAGAAGGGGTGGGCCTTCTCAGGAAGCTCAGAGGTCACCCGGCCTTCCGAGAAGTTTGCTGAGCCGTCCCCGGTGACACAGGACGCCTCTCAGAAGACGCGAGGGCCTCTGAGAAGTCCCGCCGCCTTCTGAGCAGGCCTTCTCCTTCTCATTTCCCCCCTCGCTCGCCGCAAACGGTGGGGTGCCGGGTAATGGCGGGGACGGGGATCACGGGAAGGTCGGGCCAGGATCGATGATCTTCGGGACGTGCGTTGTCACAGTGTCTGTCTGCCCCGCTCGGCCTGTGTCGGCCTTCGTCGCACCGCCGGTGTCGTGTTGCAGGGCTTTGTTGGCAACAAGCACACGTTGGCGCTAACACCAGGTGATTGTTTTTTCAATGTTTTGCCGATCGGCGCGGGCCCTCGCACCCCCCCCCTCCCTCCTCCCATTGAGTAGATCTTGGCTGCTTTTGGCGCCAGTTTCGAGCAGGTGATGTCCCTCCCCCATGGGACGCGCTGTTGCAAACAGTGGCGCTAAGCAGAGGTCCGGAGCCAGACCCCCCACCCCTACCCCCCCTTCCGCCCAACGTTAAGCCGGGCCTGTCCTCCTACAAAGGAATTTTAGACGAAAGTATAAAAATAGTCAATAATTCTTTCAAATTGTCACAGAAAATTCAAAAATTCGTCCCCGAGCTATTTATTAGCTATTTTTGAACTTTCCCCCTGTAGAGGGAGAGGCCCGACTAAAGCCCAACGTCAAAACGCCGAGTCAGAAAACGCTTACCAGGAGGGGGGAGGGTTCGGGGATCCCTGAGGTGTGGGAGCTTTCCCACACCGAGAACCAGCGCGCCTTCATGATGGCTATAGGCTCCTGGGCGGGGAGCGGCCCGCCCCGACGGGGAGGGGCCGGGGGGCAGTGGGAGGCTCCCCCCCAAGGCAAGGCGGTTTGCAGGGGGGGCGGACGGAAGAGAGGGTGGATGATGGGGAGCGTAAGAGGGCGG